TGAGTCCCTGCTACCTGCACAACCTCACCTGGAAAGAAATTGCAAGAGGCCACAGTGGACTCTGCCCAATGGCTTTTCTATGCCCACCTTGGGGAGGCAACCAAAGGGTTGTCCTGTAAGTGGCACTATTTCAGCCACCTGCTTCGCCACACAGTTGTGGAGGGCCCAGCACCTCCGGGCACATAGCTCACATAGCTTTTCAATGGGGCACTTCTGAACCATGAAAGACTTGAAAAGGACTGAGTGCACACGCTCCCCCCGACCCCCATCCAAGGGGCCTCTGGACCTGTGTCCAGAGTGTGTAGTCAGAAACTACCAGTAACCACGCTGAACAGAGCTGACAAACAAAGGGCTTCCCAGTTGCTGGTGGTCAGTGTGGGGAGTCAGGAGTGGTGCTTGCCTGTCCCACGTCTTTACGTCTCTCCAGCTCGCCACTCCCAGCCACCTGGACACCTGAAAAGGTTCACTGAAAATGTCATTTTCTTCCTCATGGTGGGACCTGCATGTGCACCACAGCTCCGTGGAGGAAAGACCTTCTTGTTCCCCTCAGCCCCATCCTGTAGCCAGTCACCCCTCCAGTGTCGATGACACACTGAGATGTTGCAGTGTTTCATGGTCTAGAAGCCACTCATGAGAAGAGGACATGCCTATGTCTGTGTGTCACATATTGTTCATTCTTGTACCCAATGTCCTTGCCAGCATCTCTTTAACATCTGTTGGAATCGTAATCTCCATCCGTACATTTCTGCTTGTATCTCACTGTGTGCATTTCTGCTTGTATTTCTGCTTGTATCTCACTGTGTGCCCAGGCCGTGACTTATTGAACATGCTTCAAATAGAACTTCTGAGCAAACAAATGAAAGAATGAATGCTGTGACTGACTAAACTGTGTAGAAATCCAGAACCTTAGAGTTGCAAGGGCTCAGCAGTCACGTTATATTCCTCCCACCAAATGGACACAACACATACATCACAGCCTTTTCCAGATTTTGCACCTGTCTCCCCAGCTCAGCTGTGGGCTTCTCAAGGACAAGGACAATGGCTTATTCATCTTGGTATCTCCTTCCTCTAAAGGATCACTAACTAGAGAGTTCCAAGAGATTTATTATCATCAGCCACAATCCAGATACTACATGGTACAGGCAAGAGCCAACAAGGAAATTGCCTAAAGGGATTCCCACAGACCCAACTGCAAATGCACTTGTCCTGAGCTCCTGCTTAATGTCTTCATCTGCACAGATTCACTGAGGGTCATTCTAAACTGTCACCAAGTCAGCCCTGCCTGTCCCTCCATAATATCCAAGATTCACACTTCACAACCATCCATTTTCTTTTTTTTTTAATTTATTTGATATATTTTACATCATTTTTCATTTTTGTACAATGTCTGCATTTTCATCTTGGTTATTGGCCCCATAAAATTCCCACCCCCTTCTTTTGATCCTACTCCTTTCTCCACCCCCCCATCCCATAGTGTGTCTCTGGTTTATAGTTGCTTGTTGATTTTGATTTTCACTTTATTACAATTAGTCTTTTTCCCGGTCCCTTATTTAGGTTTTCTAAATTCCTGCTATGAGTGAGACCATCCGGTATTTTTCTTTTACTTTCTGGCTTATTTTGCTGAGCATGATCCCATCCAGCTCCATCCATGTTGCTGTAAATTGCATGAGTTTATCTTTTTTGCTTGCTGAGTAATATTCCATTGTGTATATGGACCACATCTTCTTGATCCAATCATCTATTTGTGGGCATTGGGTTGTTTCCATAGCTTAGCTATTGTAAACAGTGCTGCTATAAACATAGGGGTGCAGGTGCCCTTTTGAATTAATGTTTTTGTGTCTTTTGGGTAAACACCTAGGAGTGGAATTGCTGGGTCATATGGAAGCTCAATCTTTAGCAGGTTGAGGAATCTCCACACAGCTCTCCATAGTGGTTGGACCAGTTTGCACTCCCACCAGCAGTGCAAGGAGAGTTCCTTTTTCTTCATATCCTCGCCAACATTTGTTGTTGCTAGTTTTTTTAATATGTGCCATTCTCACTGGTGTAAGATGGTATCTCATGGTAGTTTTGATTTGCATTTCCCTGATTACAAGTGATGTTGAACATTTTTTCATATGCCTGTTGGCCAGTCGCATTTCCTCTTTGAAGAAGTTTCTTTTTAGCTCTTCTGCCCATTTTTTGTCTGGGTTATTTACTTTGTTTTTGTTGAGTCTCATCAGTTCTTTGTAGATTTTTGTGATCAGTCCTTTATCATTAGTGCACAACCATCCATTTTTGTCCAAGAATCCCCTCTCCTGGTGTCACACTATGCCTCTGTCACTGGCCAAGTGCCTACAAAGCCCTGGGCCATGCTCGCTATTACAGGGAGTGAGCAAGGAGCCAAAGACCACCATACACACACATACCCACACATGCATGTGCATGCAAACACAAGCACCCACATGCCCTTGTGCATGTGCCCACACATGCATGCACGTCCGAGCTCCAGAAGGGGAGGTGACTTCTTCATTTCCCCCCCCCCTTTTTAAGGCAACCTCCAGCTTGAAGTCCTCCACCCTTGGCAGCAGCCTTTGCCTTTGGGAGAAAGACAAGAAACTTTAGAGTGATATGGAAATCACCCCTCCAGACACTTGCAAGCCTTGCAGGACTTGGAACTTGTCCCAGACCAAATTCAATCAGTCCTTTTTCCCCCACACTTGCTGCCTCCAGCTGAGACCCATCTCTTACACTGGATCCCAGTGAATGAAGTGCACCTGATAAGTCCCAAGAGGTCCCAGCCCCAAGAGAAAGGAGGTACGGGGGAGGAGAGGGAAGCGAGCCAGGCCTGGGACAGCTGCCATGCTGAGCCCCTGTGACAGAGGCCCCTGCCTGCATAGAGCAGGGGCTAAAACATGAATCCACACAGCAAGGAGGTGCTGCTACAGGACTGCTGGCCCAGCCCCTGAGCGTTTAGAGACAAGAATGCCTCTCTGAGTGTGACACAGAAAGCCCTAAATCCCCCTGGCTTGTCAGATTAATAAATGATATTTGCAGGTGGATGTTGTGATACTGGTATTTCTTCCCATCTCTTATCCATGGAGACCTAATTGTAAAAGGTTTGCTGGATTTGATCCTCTGAAGAGGATGAAAAGAGACAGTGAAATTTCGAAGGGTCCATAGAGGCTGAAGCAAGCTTTCCACTAGAAAGCTAGCCCTTTGTTGTCCTTGGGTCTCCCCAGCAATAGGAGGAGGTGCGGGGAATTGTGAGTAGGGGGGTAATCAGACAGACCAGGACTGACCAAATGCTGGAGGGGTGAATGTTGAGCCATGATTCCGTGGGACAAAATTCAGCAGGTTTGTCTTGATCCTCCTCAGTATTGATAGTCACACTGTATTTTCTCCAGCTGTCACATGCCACCAATTCTGACAGCCATTTTGCCACTCTAACCCAGGACTTCCCTAGCAAAGTTCCCACCCAATCCTGTTTTATCAAAATATTCAGAGCAGGGCCTCCCCGGTGGCGCAGCGGTTGAGTGCTGGGCTGCGAAGATGCTCACAGCCTCTGCAGCGCCGGTTCGATCCCCAGCTGTTCCCCGGCCACCGGAGGAGGGTCCCACATGGCGCGCAGACCTCTCCTGCCGCCCGCTGCTCCCCTCAGCAGTGTACTTCGGTCCGTCTGCCTACTCTGCTCCCTGCTCTGGCTCTGGTGAATTCTCTCACCCTCCCGCACTTCTGACTGTACCCAGTGCTTGTATAATTAAATAAATAAACAAACAAACAAACAAATAAATAAATAAATAAATCTTTAAAAAAAATATTCAGAGGATCTCCTTGCCCTTAAGTGATGTCTCCTTCCTCACCATATCAGTCTAAAGGTCTAACCAGAGAAAGTGTGTGCATGCATGTCTGTGCACATGCACCCGGGCATGTGGGTGCTTGTGTTTGTGTGCACATGCACGTGTGGGTGCGTGTGTGTATGGTGGTCTTTGGCTCCTTGCTCACTCCCTGTAATAGCGAGCATGGCCCAGGGCTTTGTAGACACTTGGCCAGTGACAGAGGCACAGTGTGACACCAGGAGAGGGGATTCTTGGACAAAAATGGATGGTTGTGAAGTGCGAATATTGGATATTATGGAGGGACAGGGTAGCCAGAGAAAGGTCTGACCAGAGAAAGCCCAGGGGGATCTAGAAAACCGAAGGTTGAAGATACCGCCAAGGTGCAGGGAGACCAAGCTCTCACTCCTGTCCTTCAAGCAACAGACACTGAGTTGTGTTTTCCATTCCTGTGTTTAGGAAAATAAAGTGTGAGCCAGTCAAGCACATCGCTGCCGGCCCCGCCACGCTGTGACTGCAGACTAAACAGAACTCTTATAGCCTTGGTTCCCAGAGTAGGAGGGAGCAGGAGAGGAATTTTATTGACTTGTCTGGTGTGCTAGAAACCAAGACTTGTATTCTCAATGACACTTGTGAGTTGTGAGGGCTGCTGAGCTCACAAAGGCCCCATAAGGGCAAAACCCTGCCCATCAGGGAAGCCACGTCACGGGGCCTGCAAAGTCAGAATGTGAAAGCCGTGTTTGCTGACCCTTACTGGTAATTGACACGAAATCCTCATGAATTATATAAGGTGCCTCATGTGTAGACAGAGATAATCACTTAAATTGACAAAGTCATTTCTGAATTGTGCTTCGGTGACTATGAGCTATGGATTCCCGTGTAGCTGCAACTTCTCACTTCCTAAATAAATCGCCAATCTCCCCAAAAGAAGACTGAAAACACCTCTACTGCTCCTTGAGGACAGTCATCTCGAAGAATGGCCATTCGGGCCTCTGGCACAAGGGTCCGCTCCACTTCCCCAAGAGGGGCAGTGCTCCTGTCAGGAAGACCCCATTATTCCGGTGATGGAGACAAGTCCCCCATCTAGGGCCCATGAAGACACAGCTCCAACCCCTTTCCTGCCTTCAGTCTGTTTCGTTCCTCCCGGCCCTTCTCTTACACCGGCCTGAGGATGCAGCTGTGTTTGGGCTAACATTCCTGCAGGGGAGAGAACATAGCTGCGAGGGAACAAGAGGATGATAATTAAAACACAATAAAATGAAAATTTCATCAGCACTTTCAAAATAGGAGTTTTAAGCAACAGCACTGTAGGTGGAGCTGGGACAATTCCATTTGGGCAAACATCCTAAACCTGCAGAGACAGAGATCGACAGAGTCCTTCCCGGAGAGTCGAGCCAGGATCTCTGGGGAGCCAGCCAACAGAGGCATGTTCCCCAGGGCTTGGGTGTTCCCCCACTCTGAGTTTGAGCTGTGCTGCTCTTGCAGTGTGATTGCTAGAATTCAGGAATATCAAGGCTCTAAGAGACAGGTAGGAAGGAGACGGTGTATTCTTGAGGCCAAAGTCAAACACTCATCTCTGCTTTGGGAAATGAGACAGATCCAGGATAACTGGCTCCTGCGAAAATACAGCCAGGCCTGACAGGACAAGGTTGGAATAGACACGAGAAATTCAGTCGGCACAAAAGGGGAAAAGCCACCTTCACACAGCCTACGATCCTTCAGCAGAGGGCATCAGGACAGAGAACTTCCAGGAGCCAAAGCATTATAATATTTTAAATGTCTAAAGCATAAGAAAGTTTTACAATTACCTATCCAGCCCCCCTTTCTAAAAGAATCATTATTTATACATTGCTATATTTCTACAGTCCTGATAATTATATATCATTATTGTCAAACACTTAAAATAATGTGCAGTTGGTTTTATAACCTGTTCTCTCACCTGAAATACCTTGAACACTCTTCCATGTTGCTTCTGTCTCAATGGTTACTTGTGACAAGTACCACCCACTGAAACTGAATTGGAAGAGAATTTATTTTATGAATCAGAAACCTCTCATGAACGCCAAGAAAAGATGGTAGGGACAGGTCAGGCCAGTAACAGTAACCCAACTCTGCAAGACACCCTGTCCCCTGTCTCTGCTATCTCGGCACCACTAGCTCCCATCTCTGTGCACAGTCACCAACAGCCTCCCTCCTGCCCCCCTCTCTTCCCTGCTTGGTGTATAACCCAAGCAGCTAAACTCCTGATCCAAAAGCAGGCAATGGGGCTGCCTGCATTTATGTCATCTGTACACCCCTGAAGTGATCAGCCCTGGCTGGTGGGAGGGGGAGAGACAGGAATTGATGTGCCAGTCCATTAGAGAAATGGACTTACATACAAATGTTATTTACTATTTCTTCAAAGGATATGCCAGGAAAACAGCCTGTATCAGTCAGGGTAGACTAACTGCTATTTACAAACCCCCAAAGACTTATTTCTCGTTCATATCCCAGTCTGCTGTGAACCAGGGCAGAGGGAGGGAGTGGGGCCAGGAGGAGTGGGGCACTCAGAGACCCTAGCACTCCCAGGGGAGTCTCTCCTACCTTACAGCAATCCTGCACTGGACCTTCTGGGCCCCACTGGCAGACAACGAGGGAAAAGGATTAGAGCAAATTATGGAAGGGATGTACCTCACCCTCTCCCATGCTCCTGGCAGAGCACTGTCCCACCTCACAAGACATCCACTCAGCTCGCCCACAGAGAACATGCTTAGCTCTCCCTCGGGAGACCAGCAAAGTCCCAGCAGTGCCCGTAATAACCCTCTCCCTCTGGCCTGGGTATTGCTCCTGCTAGTCTGATGACATATGAAATAAAAAAAGCTGGTTGTCACCCACAACAACTTACAATAGTGGAACAAAAAGATCACCATGATAACCGTAGCACCCCCACTGGGGGAAAAAAAAACGTGGCCTGGGAGACCAGTCTGAAGCAGGTCTGCTGTGCCTCTGGGCAAACATCACAGAGGGTCCCTCTTCTCTCCATTGCACCCTGATCCTGTGTTCTGGGAGGAGCCAGCTTGTCCACTGTATCCACCACCCCCATATCTGTCCACTGAATTTTTGTCTATCATCCTCCTCAGCTACATACGTGTTAACTAGATGTTAGGGATTTTGCTTCCATGGATTCTTGGAGACATTCACTACTGATTTCTACCAAATGGGAGAGTTGGGACTCACGGGTTTTTGCTTGATCATTTGTGTTTTGCAATACAAATACCTCCAAAATGTAGTAGCTTCTGATCCATTTGCTTCTAGTCAGTTCCATTTGCAAAACACAGCATTCAAGCTTCTGACCTAAATGTGACTCTAAAATATGCTGGCTTTCCTAGTTTCTTCCCTCATCCTCATGCCTCTCTTTTTCTCAGCACTGTCCTGAGGCAATGTGGCAGGCAGGGGACAACCACACCCCAAACTAATGTTTTACAAAAGGACCAAGTCACTTAGGGCAACTGAAAAGTTTTAATGAGGCACTGTCTCTCACAAACTTTCTCACTATTTTTTATTTTTGAAAAAGCAATCAGTTCTGTGACAGATTATTTTGTCCAAATTATGGCTGTGGCCATGGTGATTTTGCCAGTCTCACATGTTCTTCCAGAACCTTGACATGCAGCCCACCCCGAAGCTCAGTCCCCTCCCTCTTAGTACAACTTGGTAATAATTAAAAGTGTGAGACAGAAGCTATGTTGCATGACCTCTGAGGCCAGGTCATAAGGTGATATGGCTTCTGCCTGGAAACCAAGCAACTCCAGGAGGAGATACCTGGTAGAGAAGTATGCAGGCAGAGGCACTGAGGCCCCCCAACAGCTAGAATAGACCCCCAGATGTATGACAGAGGCTTTCCATCTTTCCACCGCCCCCCTCACCAACTTCAAGTCTTCCAACTGAATCCCAAACATTATGGAGCAGAGACAAGATGTTTGTCCTGTCTTGATTCCTGATACACAGATCTTTAACACAGTAAATTCGTGAGCTTAATATAAACTTTGGCTTATAGCATTAAGTTTTTGAATAAACTATTATATAGCAATAATATCTGGACACGCATGATGCCCTAAATTTCTGCATTTGCTACACTCCCTTTTATTTTTCTTGCATGTCAGCTATGTCTTTCCTAGTTTCCCTTTCTTGCACTACCTTGCCAAAGGCAGCCAAGAGAAATCCAACACACATGAACATACACTGCTGATATTCTATTTTCCAAACACCTCTCCTCGATCTAAAATCTCAGGAGGCACATGGTCTCCCATCCAAGCTATCACTGTGAGGTTCTATCAGATACTTTGCCACAGAAAACACAGCCCCTGCCATGTGTTTCTGCCTAATTGTTAAGTCTATGTCCCAGGTTTTAGACTTTTGTTATGGAAGCATCCACTTCTGGGACCATTTTCTGTATTATTTAGGGCAGACTAACTATTATAAGAAAGAATTCCATAATACAAGACCTGGCATGTAGGCCAGAATTGGAGGGTGGGTGGAGGAGTGAGAGAATTCACCAGAGACACAGTGGGGAGCAGAAAAGGCAGATTGACTGAAATGCACTGCTGAGGGGGTCAGTGAGAGAGACAAAAGAGGTCTGCTGCACCATGTGGGTCAGCTCCCTGGCCAGGGATCAAATTTCTGCTACAGTGACTGGCAATCACTTAATAGGGCTGAGACTTTAACCCCTACACCACCAGGGAGGCCCCTCTTTTAAAAAAAAAAAAATTACTTATTTATGCATACAAGAACTGGGTACAGGTCAGAGGTGTGAGAGGTAAGAGGATTCACCAGAGACAGAGTGGGGAACAGAACAGGCAGATTGACTGAAATACACTGCTGAGGGGCGCAGCAGATGAGCCAGGAGAGGTCTGCTGCACCATGTGGGTATCTCCCTGGCCAGGGATCAAACTCGTGCTGCAGTGGCTGTGAATAGCTTCACCGGTTGCGTCTTAAACCCTTGTGCCACCAGGGAGGCCCATGGGAGGCCCCTCTTAACATTTTAAAATCTTACTTATTATTCCATCACAATCAGGTGCATGTGGAGGGAGAGGGTTTGTCACAGATGCAGCTCCAATGAGGTCCCTTGATTGAGCTTCTTCACATCAGCAGTGCGTGTGGCCCACATACAAGGAACGCATGTGCAGTTCTGCTGTGCCCCCGGGGAGAGGAAAAAAAATGGGTCTGATGAGAACTTGGCCAGTCTGTGGCACTCCTTGCAAAGCCAGGAAGTAGCTCAAGCACAGCAGTGTCATGCTATGTCCCTGCAGCAATCTGACAGGCTCCCTTACCTGAGCCCCCAGTGTGTGAGGAATGGGGCTTCCCACCAGCTCATCCTGAGGGATTGCCAGAGTGTGTCAGGTGCTGCGGGGTGGTAGCAGATCAATGGTCCCAAAATGTCCCTCTCCTAACTCCTGGTCTGTGAAGATGGCACAATTGCATAACAAATGGACTTTGAGTCCTTGAAAGCAGAGAAATCTTTGAAAGCAGAGATATGGTCAGAAAGAGAGACAAGATGACGGAAGAGGGCCCAGGAGAGGAGGAAGGAGCTCCAGAGGACAGAAAAGTCTAGTGGAGGCAGAAGGGAAGGCTGCCCTCTGGCCCCTGGACCAGTTCTGACCTACAGACAGTCAGATAACAAATCTTGACTACTAAATTTGCAGTGATTTGTTATAGCAGTCATAGGAAACTAATATAGCCTATAAAGAGCTAAACCCTGAGTAAAATTATCCCAGCAGTGCATAGCACCCAGGCTCTAGGAGGGACACACTCCCTGGTCTTCACATTTGTATCCACCAACTCTGCCAGAACTCTGCCCTGGCTTCTCCCTTTCCACTGCTCCATTCCTGTTTAGTGTCCTGAGGCCCTTGAGGCCTGTCCCAAGACGTGGTGGTTTGTGCCATCCACTGTTAAAAGCCCTGCCTTCCTAGACCTGAGCCTTTGCTGGAGTCATAGCTCCTCGTCTTCCTCTCCTCCTCTGTGTTAAGTAATTTAGGTGTCTGTTGCCTCAACAGTCATTGTTCTGTTGCTTTATAATAACCCCTTTAGGATTTCTTTCCTGCACAGCTTGGTGTTGCTTTTCAGTGAAGCTCCTTACTCTTCCTTCTGTCTTGATTGTTAATCTTGCAGGGTTAACGGTGGTTAATCTTGCTGGGTAAGGGATTCTGGGCTGGAAGTCTTTTTCTGTCAGTACTGTAAATATCCCTTTCCGGTCCCTTCATGCTTACAATGTTTCTACTGACAAGACTGCTGATAGCCTAAAAGGTATTCCCTTACAGGTTGCCCTTTTTCTTTTAATATTTTTTTAATGTTCTTTCCTTAATGTTGGTTCTCAGCAGCTGTGTTATTATGTGTCTTGGTGTGTGTCAGTCTAGAATTATTTTGTTTGGAACTCTTGGGCCTCCTTGATCACAACTTTTGGTTCATTTCCTAGATTGAGATGGTTTTCAGTGATTATTTCTTTAAATAGGTTTTCTGTGCCTTTCGCTTTTTCTTTTCCACCTAGGATACCCAAGATATGGATATTGCTTCTATTCAAGTTGTTGCAGAGAGCTCTTACACTCCTTTCAAATTTTTGAAATTTTTTATTAATTAAATTTTTTTCTTACATCATTATAGTCCCCATAGTTCTTCCACTACCTTATCACCCATGAACCATTACCATATTCCCTTGTAGTCTTTCTTCCCCTGTATTGACCCCCCTCCCACCCACTCCTTTGCTGTATGCCTCAGTTCTATGTTCAGCTTGCTATTTTAACTTTTTCTTGACCTTTTTTATTCCTTTTTCTCTGCTTTGTTCCATGCCTGTGATCTCCAAACTTGTGTTTCTGAGCTCATTCTCTCCAATGCTTCTGTTTGTCTGCTATGGAGGCCTTTAATTGTACTTTTTAAATCAATGATAATGTTTCTTAACTCCATTATTTCTGAATGTAGCAGCTTCACATTTTCATTAACTTTGCTCTGTTGTTTTATAGTCTCCAATGTTTATTTAAACTCCATCAGCCTTCCCAGCAAGGTTGCCCTGAATTCCCCTTCTGTCATGCTCCACAGCTGAGCCAGGACTCCTTTCAAGGCCTTTTTGTTTTGGGGCTTGTTCTATGTTCTTCTGTGTCTTCATTTTCAATTTTGGATGGGTTGTAGCAGAGATAGATTTTCACTGTTGCCTTTGCACCTGTTGGAATAGTCAAGGGACTGGTCCCAGTGAGGTTAATAGATATAAAAGAAGACCAGGGAAATAGGCATCAAAGGATCACCTCCAGCAGACTCAGGAACTTGAACTTCCTGTTGTGAGGTGTTTCTTCGTGGGAGGTGGCAGGTGCTTTGGATTTCACAGCCTGGGGTTCAGTACTAGCCTCTTCTATAGGGAAGTTCAGATGCCCAGACCCAATTTAGGCTACAGCTGTTCTGTGTTATGAGCCTCAGCATCAGACCACTAGTCCTGGTTCACTGCACCCCTCTGTAGGTCTCCACAATGCACCCTTCACTATGAGTACCTGTTCATGCACCCCCAATCCAGTGCAGCATCAGGTCTTAGGAGCCACGATGCTGTGCCCAAATCAATCGTTGTAGGGGCCTCCACCACAGCTGCTCCTCCCTCTCGTGGGGTGCACTGCCATTATTACTCCAAACAGAGTTCACTTGAAGTTTTTCCTACCCCTTTCCATTGGACCGAAGCTTCTTTTCTGTGCAGTGAGAGTCAGTTTTCCCCTCAGAGTCTTTTGACTTTGTTTTACATCACTTTTGTTGTGCATATTGGAGGAGGCAAGCCTGGCATCTTCACTCTGCTCCCATCCTGCCAGGCTCCTCATTTTACATGTTTAGAGCCCCCCTCCCACACTTGAAGTCTCTCGACTTCCCTCTCCCATGCAACTTCAATTATTCCTCTCAAGAAAGGATCTGGGGACCTCCCTGGTGGCGCAAGGGATTAAGTGTCAGCACTATGAAGCAGTCCGTAGCTACTGCAGCACAAGTTCAATCCCCAGCTAGGGAAGAGACCCACATGGTGCAGCAGACCTCTCCTGTCTCACCCGCTGCTCCCCTCAGCAGTGTAATTTCAGTAGATCCACCTGTTCTGCTCCCCACTCTGTCTCTGGTGAATCCTCTCACTCCCACACTCGCACCTCTGGCCTGTACCCCAGCTCTTACAGGCATAAATAAATAAATCTTTAAAAAAAATTAAAAGGAAAGAAAGGATCTAGAAGTTATTCCCCCAATGGAGACAATGTACTGTAGCTTAAAACAAAACACACTTTTTCACATGTGCTTGGAAGATGGGCCCCTTTAATTAAAATCCATGATTTAAGTCTCCCCCCACCCCTGAAAAAAAAAAAAAAAAAGAAGTGTGGAAGTTTAAGCAGCTGGTGAAGTGAGAATAGGATTATTTGGTTTTCTGGGTGTGTTCTCAGGATGCCTTAAATAAACAATACACTACCTGCCCAGCTAAAAATGAACTAGTCCAGCATGAAAATGTACAGGGATGGGGGTGGGAGAAAGAGAGCTGGAAAGAAGGAAAGAGAGATACAAATTGGCATCACAGGCACAGAACTGCATCGTCATCTGACTAAAGCCATGAGCCCGATGGGGGCAAAGGTGAGCTTTCAAGCTGATGGGCAGGATGAGAACAGAAAAGAGCAGGTGGCATGTGATAGATAGCATGTAAAGGGACCAGATCCCTGGTTTTACATCTGCTAGTTGGGGAGTTTTCCTCGCCCACAGAGGGACAGACCAAGCACAGTCTACCTGCAGCCCCACCCACCCCAGGACTCTGCTCCTGCTGGAAACAAAAGCCAGGGAGCCCCCAGCTCTCCTACCTGCCAGAGCTGCTCTCTTTGAGGGGCTTTTCCTGACCCCAGGGCAACACCTCCCCTGGCCATTCATTGGGTGGGGCAGACAGAGGCCTGGATCAAGACAAGGGGTGTCCTCCCTCCCTATAGGTCGTGGAATGTTCTCCCAGCAGCTGCTCCAGATCCTCCAGGGAATTCCTGACACAGGCCCAACCGGGATTCCCTGTGATGAGCCATAAAAATCAATTAGCATAATTAGATCAGACACACTATGATGTCATTACACTCTCTCCTACTGTCTGCTCTCTTCATTAATAAACACACACTCAGAATATAATCATCTAGCCCTGTCTTCCCGGGCCTGGAATTAGTTCCTAGGAACAGAAGGGATGGGAGAGAGAATAGGGTCAGTGAGTCACTGACCGCCCTTTGCCATCCCACTTTCTCGCACCCATCTCTACGCCTGCACATTCCAGCCTCCTGGATGGAGAGGAGCACCAGCTGGCACCAGCTCCCCTACACCATGAAGCTGAAGTGTCAGGGCTGATCCCCTTGGCTCATGATGGTTCATGGAAAGAATTTCCCATGGCCAAAGGAAAACCTTGCCCAGAAGGGATCAGAGGAACTCAAGTGTGTTGGCAAAGACAGGCGTGTGCAGAATCTAGAGACATGGGCAATTGGGCTGTAACTGTGAGAAATACTTCTGGTGCAGCCCCAGAAAGGAACAGTTAGGACCACGGGCCATCAAACATCACCTGCTTCCCTTTGTTTACCTGAAAATTGTTAGTGAAAGTTGTTAATTGATTACTCAAAATCCTTTTCATTTCATCTGTATTATAACTCTTGAACACCCCAAATGTCAGAACTCTCCTAGTATTTTCTACCAAGAAGTAAACGCCTTAGTTCACAAATAATGAGGCATGTGATCAGACTCAGGGGCTGAGAGGTCCCAAGGGCTGGGTTGCAGAAGCCCCTGGGACCAGGCTTGCTAAGAGCCTGATCACTTGTCTCACCCCTACACAGAGAACCAAGAAACTCTCCAAGGAAGCAGGCAGAAACAAAGTGGAATGAGCTGAGTATTTCACAGCAAAAACCAGCCCCCCTCTGCCTTCCTACCTTTGAGATTATCGTTTTCATGACATCTGAGATAAGGGGTCAAATTCAAAGTATACCAACAGTGGAGAGACTTTCCCTTGTGAGAATTAGTGTAACACGTAAAACCTAAGACTTATTGATCTCTTCCAGTAAACCAGGCCCTCGGTGATGCGTTCCTTTGCACATCCTTTTACTTAATCCTCACAATAAGCGTGAGGAAAGTACTGTTATTGCCTCCATCTTCCAATGAGGAAACTAAAGAAAAGAAAGACGTAGTCACTGACCTCAGCTTCACAGGGTCCCAGATGAAGTCACTGACCTCAGCTTCAGAGGGTCCCAGCTCTGGGACTCAAACCAGGTCAGGGTAGCTCCAGGCCGTTCTGCTTAGATGTAGCCCCTAAGAACATGGCCTGGTGCCCATTTTGCAGGAGGGACCAGACACTTTCAAGTCACTCATTCAACAGATGTTTGATGAGTGCATGCTGGATGCCCAGCTCTGCTCTGGGTGCTGAGTGCCTCACTGCACAAAGCAGGTAAACCTCTCTTGTCTTTGTGGTATATTCCTGCTGTTCTAAGAGACAGACAATATGTATGAAGGTTAGAAATGACAAAAACTCTGTTAGAAGATGAAAGACAAGGTCAGAGTTATGTAGCAGAAGCACAGGATGCTAGAGATGGCCCGCAAACCACAGAAACCAGGCGAGCCCCGTGGCCATCCTCACGTTGCCTTCACGGTGAGATTTCCCACCTCCGTATCTGTGTCTGCCAATCGGCACTGTCCAGACAGGCAGGGAAATGTTATTCTGTCCTCACTCCCCTCCTGCATCTTAGGGACAAGGGTGATGGAATCATCTGACTTTCTAGTTCATCAATGGCCAGACCTTGAGAAAAAGCACACAGAGACTTGCTGCAGAGTTGGGGCCCCCAGCACACTAGTGTGTTTGGCAGCGGAAAGGGAGCGCCAGACACAGTCGGGGACCTGGGGGCCAGGAAAGGGAGCAGTCTGTGGTAGAGTTTACCTGCTGTCCACCCACTTCTGTTTTCTGTTTTCCTCTCTCTGCACACAGCTGGCCTGCACTTCCTGGCCTCTCTGATTCAATGACCCAAAGCGCAAGTTCTCACTAATGGATGGTGGGAGCTGCCACACTCCTAGGAAGTATCTGTGCCCCTACCCTGTTCTTTCTCCTCTTCTGCCTACTAAATAAAGAGGCATCCAGACTCCTGGAAACCAAAGAACCACGTGATGAAAGACCACGGGCTCCTGCAGCATCGTGGGATAGAGCGCCATCTGCTGGTAAGAAATTCCATAGCAGGCCGTCATGAGAGAAACTTGTGTTGCTCAAGCCACTGACTCAGAGAGCAGGTAGAGGCGCAACAAGTCCATCAAAGCAGGGACTACTAGCAAGGCCCCCTCTCCGGAAAGACATGGTGTCCGAAGAGAATCTCTTCATTGAGACTGAGTTCTAGAATCTGCTCTGATGTCAACCAGTCCAGTGACCCAAACAGCCAGGGGACTTGGACTAAGAAAGCTGAGCCTCATGGGCTCAGCAGCCGGAGCTCCAGAGAGCTGCTTCTGCCACACAGAATTGTCTTACCTTTTCCTGTTAAAGTCTAAGGGCTTCCAAGTTAGATGCTTGCCTGAAGGAATGAAATCATAAGGGCAGGCTACAAAAAAAATCAAGGTTGAAGGTCCTGCCCTTGACCCCAGATAGCTGGCTCTCAGAATCAGAATGCAGATGTGGCTTCCCTGAAAAAGTAATTAGAGCGCGTGCCAAGTTGTCACCTGAGCCCCCTCTGAGGGGCAAGGCTCTGGGTCCCTAGGGAGGGCAAAGACCTTAATTAGTACAGAGGACAGGACAGCTCAGGGCAGGCCTGCGATGCTTGACTCCATTCAATCTGCACAATGACTCCACCTAACAGGCCTGCTTTCCCTTTGCTGCAGGTCACGAAACTGGCTCAGGGGCACTTACAACCTGCAGCAGTCACGTTGCTGAGAAGTGGCACACCAAGATTCATCCCACATCTATCTGACACCAAAGCCTTTCAGTCCAACCAGGATCACATCCGGGTCTTCTCTCTGACCCTCTTGGTGCCCTTCATTGTGCTACCCATTGTCATTGAAACAGGGAGGGTCTCCTCTCTCCCCCCAGCTATCCAGGAGCTGCTCTGGGGATGGGCCCTCAGGGGTGATGGTGAAATTTACCCTCTCAATCCAGGTGGAATCTTTCCTCTTAGGTTTACCTCCCTATTTGCAGACTTGGGGGTCAGGGTGGCAAGCCATGCAAACCCTTCTGCCTCCCCACACATAGCCTTCCTATCCCTATCCCCCTTATGGGGAATGCTCAGCAGCTCTTCACACTTAAACGCTTTAATCGTCACTGTGGTATAAAGTACATGTCCATAGTTCTTACATCTTGGTATGAAGTAACATTGTTACAGGGCAGGGAGAGGGACACCCCAGTCCCTCAAACCTGCCTGCTCTAAAAGGTTCTGCCATCCGCCACATCAACACAAACTGTATGAGACTTTAATGAAAATGAACTTTAATACAATTAGTGAAAAATACAGGAAAGGCAAAAAATACAGTTTCTAAATCAAGCACCCAAAGTTACCCGTCCCCTCGTGGGTAAAAGTCCACCCAAGCAGGATTGGCCCAGAGCAAGGCTGCAAAGCCTGTCACAAGTCCAAAGCATCTTCCAGTGGGGACCCACAGAAAAGGGTCAGAAACAACCAAACAAGTCCGGAAGGAAAAGAACAAAATCAAAATCAAGACAAAAACTGCCATTGTCACCTCCCCACGGGTCTCTCACCCACATCTGTGTCACCCAGTCCACAACCAAAAGGCAAGGACAGTTTCTTCACGTGACTCTCGGCTCCATGTGCCTCCTCCAGGTCTCCTTCTGGCTCCATCCTGCTTCCTTCCTTCTCTAGTCTCCTCTCCAGCTTCTTCTCTTTAGCTCCACTCTCCCTTGCGTGGGGCAGGGAACCTGGAACTTCCCCTTTTCCTGGGGACCACCCTGTTACATTACCCAAGGAATCCGAATGAACACCCTCTCTGCCTTTTGTTTATTGGCTTTCATCTTTCTTTTCCTCTCTCTTTCCTCTTTTTTTTTTTTTTTGTCAACTTAAATTCCTTCTGATACTAGTCCTTTTAAGTGCTCAGACAAGGTAAGCTAATCACACTGGTAAATTTCCCTGCTAAAGAAAATAAATATTATTACAAAGTCAAATAAGAAGTATTTCAATATCCTCTACTTTACATCACCCATGCCCTGCTTTCTTCCAAAGGTAATTTTAAGTAAAGACTTTGCGGAAAATCTGGGTCTCTGATCTTCATGTAGAGAGTCACCAGTTAAAACACACACACACACACACACACACACACACGCACGCACACACACACAGAGCTGTTATCACCCCCATTGAATTGATGAGGAAACTGAGCCTGAAATATATACATTGACCCTCTCAAGAGAATGACAAATAGCTGGAGGAGATGGGGGACATTCCTGGGCGCTGGCTCCGAGGGCAAGGTCGCTAGTTGGCAAGGGGCACAAGCAAGCCTGGCACCCTGGCTGCCCAACCCAGGACAGCAGGACTTCCCCTGACACAGTCAAGCTGGCCCAAGACCAATTCCTCCCTGTCATCTCTTATTAACAAAAGTGAAGTTGGAGGCTTTCATTTTTCATAAATTCAAAAAAGGCCAATTCTGTTTCCTCTCCCATTTGAATGGAAAATTTGTAGCACAGAGAGTAAGGGGTTTTCCCTAAGACTTTTCCCAGGGTGGATTCATCATCTGGAAAGAAACTTGAATAGGTCTCCTTATTTTCAGGCAGAACTCCCCCTTAACCTTCACCCTCTTCCCCGCCCCCGGCCCCCACATCTCCTCATTTTCTGCATGCCTGCCACCACTCAGGCCCGGCCCAAAGTCTGCAGGAAGATCAAAAAGTTAAGGTAGCCAAACTCTCAGCACATTGTTTATTTGAATGGGATGGGTGAGGTGAAGATGAAATTCAGAGTTTGGGGTCAAAGACTGAACTTAGAAATGGGCTTGTGTTGGAATATTAATGTCAGAGGTGGGGGTGGGGGGGTGAGGCAGAGAGGGAAAGAGCTGTCTGCTGTCAGGCTCGGGCTCCGGAGCAATTGAGATATACTGGGAGTTCAATTTCTGTTTGCCTGAGCCAGGGAGAAAATCTAATTAAATATGGTGTCTGAGTTTGGAGAAGCTGGGATGGGGCTGGAATATAAAGTGTGGCAGCTACCCGCAGATCAGAGGGCAATATTAATAAACCCACAGAAAGGGGCAGCAGGATACACTGGTGGTGTTGATAAAATGCAAAGCGAAGACAAAGCAGGCTGGGAAAAGTGCATGGTAACGCTGATAAAAGCAAGCTGGGGACCCCCCCACTGCTGTGACCCCGGAACTGCCAAAGGAGCGACCCTGTCGCTGATCCCTCTCCCTTTCCTCTTTCTCTGCCTTGTCACCAGGGTGGTGGACACTGGTCTCACTTCTGTTCCTTACAAGCATAAACCAGCTCAGCCACAGTGAGTTTTTCTGAGAGCCACTGAAGGCAGGACAGGAGATAAAGAATGAAGAACAGCAGTAAATGAACCTCCCTTTCAGCAGGGAACATTTGGATAAGATCCAGTCTCCTTTCTCTGTGAGGGCTGGGAAGGCCTCGTTGCACTTTGACCCAAGTAGAGGACAGTCTCGCTTGGGAGTTGAGGGCTGCCTAAGTGACCTCTCTGGAATGTTCTTTGCTCAGATGCTCATCCTGAGTTGGCCACTTGCAGAACTCCCCAGCCTTCTGAACTTCCAAAAACAAAGCAAAAGCCCTAGAGACTTGAATTTTCAAAGAACACCAGGAACTCCTTAATGGTGTCGACCCACAGGGCTTCCAGGTGAAATTCCTGGAAACTACTTGCCACTCGTTCCTGGCTGCCCTGGCTTCCCAGTGGGGCTGAGAAGGGCTGGTGCTTCCTGGTGAGTGGAGGAACCTCCACCCACACCCCACACCCAGAGCCCTCATTTCTCAGTGGCAACTGTCACCCTCAGAGGGGGGCTCTGGGATCTTAGCTGAACTACGTGGTTCTTTTGTCATCTGTACTTAACCACCATCAGCTGGTATATTTTGAGTTCGCCTTATTTTCCTAAGCTTTCTGTGTGATAACGAGCATCTGCCCAGAGTATTTTCAACAATTTTTATTGTGTATCAATCTACACTATCTCTAATGCTACATGATTTTCCAGGGACCGAGTGAGTGGCCGTAACAACGGGTCTGAACAAGTCCATGCCTACTCACATACGATTAAATTTTAAATCTATGCCTTTACCTTCCATCTCCACCTCCCACCTGAACAAACTCCTAGCATCCTGTTTTTGGCAACGGAATTTAGAATGGGAAGGTATTGCTGGTAAACCCACCCCCAGCTTTGTGTATTAATCTTTGACGTCGCTGTACCTCAGTTTCCTTTTCTGTGAGGTGAGAATAATCATTTCACCCACTCTGGATGGGGTGTAAAGATTAAGAGAGATGCACTAGGAGAAAAGTGCTTTTGCAGTTCTGAGGCTGTTATCTGCCCCTCGCCTGCAGAAATGGAAGCTCATCCAGCGGTGGGAGAGAGCCTAATTACTGTAATAGTCGCTTGCATTTGTGCTGTGCGTCACAGCTCCACGCAGCTCTTATCAAACGTTCCATTTGATCCTGACAATATCTTATGAGGTTGGCAACAGAGCTACAGCATCCGCATTCAATAGATGAGAAAAATGGATCACTGAGACACCAAGAGATCTTTTTTCTTTACGTTTTTTATTGAGTATATTTTACATATTACATTGTGCAAATTTAAGATGTACCAAGAGATCTTTTAAAATGCAAAGCTGATCATGTCATTCTACTGCTGCCTTAAACGCTTACCTTAGGAAAAAGAGCCCAGACTAGTAAGCATAGCCTAAGTGCACAGGTTAGGAGGCGACAACATAAACTATATTCTTGCTTCCTCTATTTATAATCTATCTGATCCTGTGCCAGCCTCCTGGCCTCTCTGTGTCTTCATCATCTGTAAAGGGTGCACAGGGGTAGGACCAATATCAGAAGGTTGTTTAGAGAAATAAGTGCTAGAATTGCACACATAGCGAATACTCAATAGACGTTGCCCATTACTCCTGTTATCATGTCCCCACCATCTTCGTCATCCCCATCATCACCATTTGCATTAACCCTTTGAGTCAGGCCCAACAGATATAATCATCCTTTTTAAAAACTTTTTTTTTTTTAATTTAAGGCTCAAAACAAAGTTGCAAAACAAGTCTCTGCCACACTGGAACTGGAGCCCATTCAGCTGGCCAGGGTGCTGTCACCGGGTCCTCATGTTCACTTCACCATGGTCAGATGCAGACACCCACACGGCACAATGCCACAGTCCT